TCTTACTCATTTCTTTAGTTCCAGCACCCAGGACAATAGCTGATGCAGAAAAGGCATTTGGTAAATATTTGATAAAATAATTCTTGAATGAAAACTGTCTCAAAATCTCAGTAGGCAATGAAAAAGAACCTATTTTCATTATTATTACAAATGATTTTGGACAGCTATGTGAATTTCACGGATCCTGAGAGGCTGGTGGGGATAAATTAAGGTGGGAGACCCCTGGGGGGCAGAGGGTTTCGAATCACGCTGTTAAGAAGCCCCAAGGGGCAGCCAGGTCTTGCAGTGATAAAAGAATCCAACAAGTTTTCTGTTTTGGGGGGTTTTTTGGTGGCTAGCTGGTATGGGGATCTGAACCCTTGACCTTGGTGTTCCAGCATCACGCTCTAACCAACTGTAACTGGCCAGTCCTCCAACAAGTTTTCTTAAGACTGGTCCTTCCTCTTCCACGTAGCCAAAAGGACATTTGCTAAGCGAGGTGGAGCCAGCAGTATTCTGGGTCCCCTGCTGGTGTGGTGGTGGTTTACAAGAGAAGTATAAAACGCTGTCCCTACCTTCATGGAGTACCCCATTTGACGGTAGGGGCTGTGTCATTTCTCAGCTCTGGTTCCATTCCTGGGAGTTCTCCTAACATGCCCCCCTCCCCTCCCTCCTCCTGTCTCCTTATCCCACTCCTCCCACCCCACTCCCTGACCAGGGTCAATTTCTTACCTCAGCAAGCTCTTTCAAGTCTTCCCTGACCACTGCCCCAGTCCAGGCCAGCCCCACCTCCCTCCTGGACCACTAGCCCACATGCCCCGACCTGGTTTCCCTGTGTGAGTGTTGCTCTCTAATTCCTTCTCATGGAAGCGGCCAGAGGGAGGTGTCCATTCCTGCTTCAAGTCCTTCCTTGTCACCAGGAGTGGAGTCCAGCCTCCCAGGGCAAGAATTCAGGGCTTCCTCGGTCTGGCCCCAACCCGACCCCTCTTCCTTTGTACCCTGGGCTGTACCGTGCCTGGAAGCAGAGACCTCAGGTGACCGCTCTGTTTTTCTCATCAGTAGCTTCCTGGAGACTGCGTGGGCTGGAGCTGATGTGCCCTAGGGCTGGGCTGTGACCACCCGGGCTGCAGAGGTCTGGCCTGGACCCCTGCTCCTCCCTCCACCTCCTATCTTTCCCTCCCTTTCACTTTTTGGCTCTTCCTTCTGCCACCTCCTCAGCTCTGAGCCTCTTAGAATTGCAGACTCTCCAGGCAGAAAGTGTCCTTCCTTGTCATTATCCCTGAGGGGGATCTGCTCATGGTCACAGAGCAGGTCAGGGGGACAGGCATCCTGACCAAGCCTCTTTCTGGCTCTCCCGGTCTCTGCAGTCTCAGGCCTCTGGCTGCTCGTTGGAGGCAGCCCACTGCTAGGGCAGGGAGAGGGTGTGGCTGACCCCGTTGAGCCTCTCTTCTCGTATCCTCGCCCTCTTTCAAATTCTGGCTGTTCTGTGTGCCCACTTTGTCATGAAACCCTGGTGCCTATGGTTGGGTCATTAATTCTGGGGTGGGGTGAGAGGTGGGAGAAGGGACCCAGCTCAGAAAAAATGGGCTTGATAGGAAGGCCATCATCTGCCACCTGCTGGCTGGATTCAAGTCTCTAGCAAACTCTTCCTGGTCTTTGAATCTTGCTGTAATCACGATGACCTTGAAATTCAAGGTCTCTATGCTCAGCCACCCCACCTTCCTCCTCCCACTTGAAACCCGCCCTTTTTCTTTGTCCCCACATTTCCTTCACTCAATCTGTTTACCGTATTTACACCAGCATCCCAGTCCCAGGTGGATTTGTATATGAGACAGCTCTAGCAAGGGCAATGCTTAACCCAAAGGGACTCTGTGCTAATGGGGGGGTTCCAGGCAGAGTGACAACCCAGGCATAAGGGAAGAGCTCTGGGACAGGAATGTCCTAGAACTCCTCAGACCCCACCCTATAGATGCTGTCTGAGTAAGGCTGACCCATTTGTGCTTGTTACCGAATTAAATTTCCAAGAAAAGACAGGCTGCAGGTTGTTCCCGAATAGGAAACACACATACACAGAATGAAGAGTCTCTGCCAACATCCCAGACAGGGGCCTCTTCCCCTCCCTGCAGCACAGACCTGCTGTCCCCAAGCTGGCCCACTGCCTTGGGGGAGGAGAGGGATCTGGTGCTGCTTCCTGTGGCAAGGTAAGTGTCTGCCTCTGCTCCAGGCAGCCCTTGTCACCACAGCCCTTCCAAGCAGGAAGGCTGGGGGCGGGGGCCTGGTGGTGGGGTGTTTTCAGTATGAAGTCATTTCCCACTATGAAGAAGCAGCCACGTTCTACACGGTCCACTGGCAGTCTGGGATGTTTGCCCAGTGCCAGGAGAGAGTCTAAAAATGCCCAAGCCCATCTTGGGATCTCAGGAGGCTGGTTGGAAGACTACCCAGGAATCAGCAAATCCCAAAACAACTGCCCACTCCACGCTGAACCCAGCTGAGGGAGAAGCTCGTTCTAGCCTCCAGGGGCTCCACGTCCTGCTGTATGGTATGATGCCCCCAGAGAGACCACAGGCTGGACCCCCTCACTGGCGAGATTGTTCTTTCTGATCTCTGGGTTCCCAGTGTCCAGTACTGAGTAGCTCCAGTTACCTGGTGTGTGTTCAACTGAGTTTAAAATCTAATTAGGGGGCCGGCCCGGTGGAGCACTGCTACAGTGCGCCGCTTGGGAGCGCGGCGGCGCTCCCGCCGAGGGTTCGGATCCCACATACAGACCGGTTCCCGCTCATTTCCGATCAATATTTTTAAAGCTGGAAGTTTCCTCATAAGAACTGCTTTAGGGGCCGGCCTGGTGGCGTACTGCTACAGTGTGCCGCTTGGGAGTGCAGCGGCGCTCCCGCCGAGGGTTCGGATCCCACATACAGACCGGTTCCCGCTCACTGGCTGAGCGAGGTGCGGGCGCAACACCGAGGGTTGCGATCCGTTGCCGGACACGAAAAAAGACAAAAAGGAAAAAAAAAAATCTAATTAGGCATCAGGGGGCAGGACAAGGAGTTCTAGGCATGCCCAGGAGGGTGCCCTTGCTGATGGCAGGAGTATTAGGGACCTGTCCATAGAAGAGAAGGGTCTGGAGTGTATCCTAAGATTTCCTTACCAGGAGATATGATGGGGGCAGACCCCTGGTGGAGAGCATGCCAGTGGAAACAACATGGTGGGCTAGGCCATCACTGGCAGAATAACCAGCACAATGACTAGGCATGGACTGTATCCTAGCTTAGGAAGAACTTAAGGACACATGGCCAACCAGTGGGGAATTGATGCGTCATTCAACAAATGCCCTTGGGAAAATGGGCTACTGGGAGCAGGGAGGGGGAGCAAGTTTGACCCTGACCTTAGGCAATTTACCATAATAGGTAATGATTACAGATCCGCCGAGTGGGACTCTGAATTGAGGATCAGGTGGGACAGAGGTACAGATGAGACAGATCACCTTGTTTATTCACCTGTTCCCCAGGCCTAGGCAGGGGGAAGCCTGTTGGGAAGCCAGCTCCATCTTCCCCAGCATTCTAGGAGAAGGAGCTTAGGAAGGCCAGGCTTTCAACCAACTTAGAATTTCTTTGGAACCCAGCCAGGCTTTGTGAATTGGTCAGCAGCAGAAACTCCAGGGGTGCCTTTGTTCAAATTCATGTTCAGCAAAAGTTCTTTTCTGCACCTAAGCTTGTGGGAAACCATCCTCTGCTTCCCTTTTCTGGATAAACTTCTGTTTGCACCACTAGCACTAGACAAGGGGTGGTCCTGGGGATTTGTCCTATCCTCCCAGTGGCTATAATGGGAACCTGAGATGTCAGGCCAGGAAGGGACCCTACAAATTGCCCCGTCTCCTCATTTTATAGATGGAGAAAATGAGGCCCAGAGAGGAAAAGTGACTCATTCAGTGTCCGGGGATTTGTCCTATCCTCCCAGTGGCTATAATGGGAACCTGAGATGTCAGGCCAGGAAGGGACCCTACAAATTGCCCCATCTCCTCATTTTATAGATGGAGAAAATGAGGCCCAGAGAGGAAAAGTGACTCATTCAGTGTCACACAGCCAGTCAGGGCAGAGCTGTGCCTGACCATCCTCTGCCCACTGTTCCTCTGCAACCCTTTCTGGTTTCCTCCTTGGCACTTTCTTTCTAAGGCTTACGCTGCTTTCCTCTGGCTCTCCCGAGTTTCCTGTGGTGTCCACTCTGCTACATGCCTGTCTGCTCTGCAGCCTGACACCTCTTCTCCAAGACAGCCCTGGCTTGCCGATAGAGGGAGGATGACCAGCGTCCCTTGTCTCATGATGAGCCCCAGCCTCCTCCCAGAACAGACTCTGCCCAGCTCTGAGCCAGGCAGGGGACTGGAGCATGTACCACCTCTGGCTCTGGACTCAGAGTCACATCCCTGTGTGCCCCCCACTACATTGGCTGAATAACCTTGATCATCTCCCTGCTCTGGGCCTGACCACTCTTCTTGAAAATGAGAATAGTAATGGAACATACCAACTACAGCTGCTGTGAAGACCAAATAAGTCAGTATATGGAACTGTGCTTTGTCAACTGTGAAGCACTACTCAATGTAAAATGTTGGTGTCCCCCAGACCCCAACACAGGGCTGGACACAGAGCAGGTATCTATTGAATAACTGTAGAACAGTGGTTCTCAACTGGGGGCAATTTTGCCCCTTCCCCCCAGGGGATATTTGGCAATATATCAAGACATTTTGGTTGTCACAACTGGGTGGAGGTTGCTATGGAATCTGGTTGGAGGCCAAGGATACTGCTAAACATCTTACAATGTACAGGACAGCTCCCACAGCAAAGAGTTACCTGGCCCTGAATGTCAATAGTGCTGAGAAGAATGAAAGTGTGAAATTATATCTGTAGGTACAGATGTGAGTTGTCATTCCAGAAAGGCAAAGGAGCTGTGGCTGGGGAATTGACTATCAAGATACCACAGTGACCAAGACCTGGAGCCATCCCGGGTTAAATGAGATGGCCATGCCTAGGTTTGATAAGTCGAAAACATTTTATTTCAATTCTATCCTTGGGAGGCAGCATAAATAATCACAGAAGACCACAAAGGTCAATGGGGAAGAAAAAAAAAGCTCCAGAAGTGTGGGGAGAAGATGGGTGGTGACACTGTCTAGCTGTGGGGGTGGGGGTGAGGAGACCCTGCTGCAACCGGTGGGGAGGATGGAAGGTCTTAGAGGAAAGGCCTGACGGGTGGGAGGCTTTCCCCTGCCCAGTCCACCTGGAGGGGCTTCCCAGCCTTTGTGGACAGGATGTTCTGCAGAGTGGCCATGGGACACAGCAGGCATGGGGTATCACATGTCTTATAGATCCTAGCTAAGGAAGGAGAAGAGTGGACACCCATTTCTTGATCCCCAGATCTCACCCCCGAACTGTAACATTTCTGAGAACAGTGTTTATGGACTCTGTGTGGGTAGTGGGAAATGAAGGGAGAAAAGAAAGAGGAGGAAAAAAGAAAATGTGTAGAGACCAAATGAAATGTGGCATGTCAGATTATGTGACTTTGGAGCACTTCTGCAAACTGGGCAGATGTGAGGCTCAGTGAGACCCTATGTGTCAAAGAACTGTGTAAACTTTAAAGTGCTATACTGATAGGAGTGGCTGTGGTCATTCTACGTGCATAAGGCTGAGACTGGCTGAGAGAGTGGTGCTGAGACACACGCAGAGCATCCCTAGAAGCCATCAGACCCCTGCTCTGCTGTCCCCAGGGCCAAGCTCCACCCTTCTCAGCCTCAGCTTCCAGGAGGAAGAGACCTCATCTTAAATGGAGTCCCCTGGGGGGGTGGGAGCAGAGAGTGCGGGCCAGGAAGGCCTAGGGGCACTGAGTGTGAGGGGCCTCAACTGGGCCTCCAAGTGTGGCACATTGGCACTACTGGTGTTGGGCAGACGATAGAAGTGGCTTCCAGTTCTCATTCTCCACAGAGATTTGGGCGCTGGTGAAGCCCACAATGGGATTGGCATCTTGATGCAGTAGGAAGGGCTCTGGCCTTGGGGTCTGGAAACCCAGAGTCCTGGTCCTGGGTCCGCTCTTGACCTATTGGGTGACTTGGTAATTGCTTCCCCATTGCAACCCTCAGTTCTGTCATTTGTCAAAAGGGGACACTAATCCCCACCCTGACTGGCTCACAAATTAAATGGGCAAAGGGTGTGCAAGAGCTCTGAAGAGAATACTGGGGGGTGCAGGGGTCATTATGGCCTTGGAGAGCAATCCTCTTAATTCCCTGAAGACAAGGGGGAAGGGAAGAGACAGAAAGGAGCTGGGCTGCTCGCTGCCCCTGTCGGGTGAATCAGGCTTCCAGGGCTGCGGAGAGAAGAGAGCGGCAGGACTAGGGAGGGAGAACTCCCGCCTGCAATGCAGTCCTTCCTCTGTGGTACCATCAGTGATGCTGAGATGTCCTGGCAGCCCCCTGGCAGGGGAAAAGTCGAGTTCTACATCTAGCTGGGATCCCGCTTCCTCCTCTGCTCCCTGGTCCATTGAGGGCACTCCTCTGGGAGTCTGTGGTCTTCGCCCAGCTGAGGGGAAGCCTGGCTCCTGGGGTGACAGGGAAAGGGGCTGCCAGTTGGGGGGATCTCCAGAAGAGGCTGGAACTTTTATTAGCATGAGGTCAGGAGGTCAAAGGTCAGCTTCCAGTTCTTGAGTTGATAGGCGGGGTCCTCGGGCTGGCCCCAGCTCCAGTCCTGGCTCTGTCTCTGGGGTCACTGGATATGGGGAAGTTTGGGAGCGAGTAGAAACAATGGAGAGACCAGCTTAGAAAACAACCCGACTGGGAAGCTAACAGTTCTTGGGGCTGTTGCGCAAGTTTTTCAGTTCCAGTTGGAGCTGCCTCATGCGGATGTCCTTCTGGGCCAGCTCCTCTTTCAACCGCCGAATCTCATCCTGCTGCCGGAAGAACATTCGGAGGAGCTGGGGTGGGTGAAGAGAGGCGGCCAGGGAGAGAGCAGGTGAGAAAGGGATTTCTCCCATGGGTCTCCAGACACCCCCCGCCTCCACCCCACACCCTCCCCGTCCAGGCTCTGCCCATCAGCCCAGGCCTTCCACTGCCGGCTCCACCTCAGCATCCCCGGCCACCCTCCCTTCTCCAGGCTCAGTCCACGGCTCCTACTTTCCCTTATGAGGTAGGGAAAAAAAGAAAACCTTCCCGTTCATTCATGAGGAAGGAGTGATGTCACACAGTCCAGTTTTCAAATATCCCAAGCTCACCCCTTCATGGGTCCAAGCCCATGCTGTTCTTTACCGTTCTGGAGGGAAACCTTTCTCAGATGTTTTGCATCCTTCCCTTCTTAAGGAGGCTCAGGATACAGAATGGAATCTAGCTTTTTCCCTGCTGACATGGGACTGTGACAGGAATTCCAAAGTTTGCACCGGGCAGTGATTCATTTACCAGGGCTGGGTGGCATGGGCAAGCAGAGGTATCTTGGCAGACCTTCATTGAATGACTCCCCAGATTAACCTGTCTCTCTATTTCTTCTGTAAAACATATGGTCAGATGCCCACTGAACACTGATCCCCAGCAGGCACTCGCAGACCACTGCACGCTTGAGTTGAATGTTACCCGCCCTCAGCTGTGCTTGTTCTCAAACTTCCCGGTGTGAATTACATTTGCTATTGTAACTGCATAATTTAATTAAATATGATATAAACTGATGAAATGAATACCAAAAGAGAGTTGCTGTTTCTATAAAAACTTAGTTAAATGCTTTAGAAAATCTTGTTAAAAGTGATGCTAAAAAATTGTGGCTGAATTAGATATGGATGATATAATCATAAAGGATTAGGGAGCATTCAATATCTTGATCGTGTGATAGTGGCTACATGACTGCGTGTGCATGTCAAAACTCATAGAACTGAACCGTACAGAGGATGAATTTTACCACAGGTAAGTTATACTTCAATTAACCTGTCTCTAAAAAAGATTAGGGAAAACATTGTAAAAACTGGGGCTTTGCATTCAGATTGACTTTAAAAGTTCTTGTTCTCCTTCAAAGAAACTGAAACTGGAAACTGGAGTGATGGTGTGATTTATGTGAAAAGACATGGCAGATTCGGCCCAAGGAAGACATCTTCAAAGAAAAGGTCTTAGTCCTGCATCTAAATATGCTCAGGGCCAGACGGTGGCTCACTTGGGAGAGTGTGGTGCTGGTAACACCAAAGTCACAGGTTTTGATCCCCATACTGGCCAGCTGCCAAAATAAATAAATATGCTAAATGCATGTATATGTTTTATGTTTTCAAGGAAAATAAATGCTTTAGAGAATGTATCATTTTTATGATTCCCTCCTTTAACTGACTTTTAAAAAAAATTTTAACCAACAAACCATCAGTTCTGGTTATGTCTGTTCAGAGGGACAATATACTGTTTGCTCATAGATTATGTGATTTTATACACTCTTGTGCCTTCCAAGTTCTCAAAATTTCTTTGCACAGTATTTTGGTACACTTTTGTCAAAAATAACTGGCTTTACTGAGGTGTAATTCACATACCATAAAATTCACTCATTTAAAGTGTAGAATTCAGTGATTTTAGTAAAGCTACTGAGTTGTACAACCATCAGTCTCTTTCCCTGTGTCAAGCTACCAAGTTGTCTCTTTACACTTAGATCCGTGTGTCTGCCTTTCATGGCCCCAGTTTCTAATTGGTTGCTTCCTATCTGTGTGATGATTAAAGTTGTGGGTAAAACCAGAGTCGGCAGACTCTGAGCAAGTTCTTCTCAGTGAGGAAGATGCACAGCTTTACAGTAGAGAGATTATGGCATCTATATTTTCTGCTCAGAAACTCCTTAAAATTTTCCTCCAGGTTCTCAGGTCTTATTCATATAGACAAGTCTAAAGCTAAATGGTACTTGATTTAACTACCGTTCAAGCCTGCCTTCTCCATACCCAAGCCGTTGTTAAAGCCCCCTTTGGTTACTGCAGCAACCCATGTATCTCTATCTTCAAAAAGTAGGGCACTTTTCCTGGGCTCCCAAGCTAGGGCAGCAGGGGGCTGAGGGCCTCAGCCACGCCCCTCCAACACCCACAACCAGCCCAGCGACAACCACTGAGCCACAGTAGGAAGCTCCCCAGGCTCCTGAGCCAGGGTGGTGGGGGGCTGAGGGACTTAGCCACACACCCCTGACATCTGCAACCAGCCCAGCAATGACCACCGAGCTGCCACCAGAACCCCCCTGGTCTCCCCTGCCAGAATAAGGGAGTTGCCACAGGCCTCAATCAAGACCCCCTCCTTCCTACTCCTCCCACCCTATTTCCCTCCCCCTTCCCCTCTCCCCCTCACTCCCAACTGCTCCACAACATCTTAGAATGTAAAAAAATAAATAAGCAAAAAAAAAAAAAAAAAAGGAAATTAGAAAAGAAAATATTTTAAAAAAGAAGTAGGGCACTTTTTCCAAAAAAGGGCACTTTGGGCTGGGCCAAAGGCAAAGGTTTCAGCCTCTGAACCTCTTCCATGAAGCCCACCCCTTTTTTAAAAAATGAAAAATGTTAAATATACACAGAAGGAGAAAGAATAGCATCACGAACCCCCAAGCACTCATCACCCAGCTTCAGCAAATCATATGTGACCACTCTTGCTTTATCTCTGCTCCTACCCACTTCTCCTGCACCACCCGCCCCCACTCAGGGATTATTTTGAAGGAAATCCCACTTATCACATGATTTTGTCTAGCCCTAGAAATCCGAACATCCCTCTACAATAGCACATGAATATATTTTATGGCAATTATCAGGTTGCCTCTCAATCTCCCCTATAAGACCATGAGGTCCCAGAGGTCAAGGCTAGTCTTATTTTCATTCATAATAGTGATAACGTAAGTTGGTGAGACAGGCAGCATCTAAGTTGGCCCCATGTTATCCCACCCCTCAAGGGTGGGTTGGACCTAATAGCTTGCTTCAAATGAATAGAAAAAGGCAGAAGTGATGGGATGTCATTTCCAAGATGAGGCTATGAAAACACCGTGGCTTCCATCTTGAACTCTCTGTCTTGCTCTCTTGCTTGCAAGCTCTGAGGGAACCCAGCTGCCATGTTGTGAGCTGCCCTGTGGAGAAGTCCACATGGCAAGGGCCTGAGGGAAGCTTCTGGCCAGTAGCCCATGAGGAACTGAGGCCCTCCGTCTAACAGCCTTTGAGGACGTGAGTCCTGCCAGCAATCATGTGAGTGAACTCTGAAGCAGATTTTCTTCAAGTCGAGCCTTTGGATGTGACTGCAGCCCCAGTTGACAGAGACCTTGAGCCACAGGCACCCACACCAACTGTGAGGTAATAAATGTTTGTGGGCTTAAGTCATTAGGTTCTGGGGTAATTTGTTACACAGCAATAGAGAGCTAATACAGTTGGCTTCTTTCTTTGAGCACTTGATATGAGCCAGGAGGAGACCTGGACACTTGCGGATTATCTCTTCAATGCTCACAGCACTTCCTGTCCCCCCTTTTACCATAAGGAAACGGAAAGGTCAGGAAACTTGCTCAGTCACATCTAGGAAGTGACAGAGCCAGGACTCAAATGCCAGTGGGGCCATGCAGCCACCTCTACCCTAGGGGCATCAAGCCTCATGCCTGGCACACAGCAGACATTCTCGAGTCCTGGCTGAACTGCAGTGGCGCCAGGGCCTGGGGGTGCGGGTTGGAAGGAGGTGCCTTCAGGAACATGGACAAGGCTTGGCTCTGGCTGCCCCTGAATGGATCGCTCCCATTCCAATGGTACAAAGAGCACTTTCATAACCACCTGGCCTCTTCCACGAAGACAGGAAGCATCAGACCCCATCTCTGCTGCAACGCCTGGGAGGAAGGCACAGCTGTAATGCACGTGCCCCCCGTTATCAGGAATTTATAACTCTCATAACACCAAATGACAGCAACATTCTGAAATGAATTCATGAGGAGACGCATAACTCTGTGGGTTAGTAATTTGAGGTGGGAGGAGGGGAAGGGAACTAATATGTCCACTACATCCCAGCCCCTATTTATTGGGGTCAGAGGCAACGGGAGCCAATAACAGGCTACTTATGGTTTTTGTCACAGAAAGAAAAATGATTCAGAATGGAGCTGGCTTAAAGGCCTGAAGCCAATAATTGAAATGTAAAGGCCTCACTCTTCCAGGACCTGTGGAGGCAATAACTTATATTCCTTACCTCGTTCTCTGTCCTGGGTGGGACATTTTCTAATAAATCTATTCCATTGACCACAACGCTCTTCTTTTCTTTGATGGGAGCCTTAAATACCATTTTTGAGGACTTCTTATAGCCTTCTTTCAAAGACATCAGCACGGGATCTAAGAAAGGCAAGGGAAAGGCTCTCAGGGACAATTCCATGGACTGGCAAGTGATGGCGTATTTCATTCCACTGTGCGTGACAGATGCTGGCTGTGAGGGAAACAGGGGGTCATGCAGAGGGACCTGGGGCAGGCTGGGTCCAGGGCAAAGGCTGCAGCCTCCGAGCCTCTTCCATGAAGCCCACCCCCTGCGGTACCTCGGTTGATGCCTCCCAGCCATTCATCCGGGGTCAGAGCTGGCTCTGTGCCTGGTGTCATGGGGTAAATATCTTCCTGGTAGGAATCCGACTGCAGCAGGGGAGAAGGGTGCAGAAGAATGGACAGATGGGGGGCTGCTGAGAAAGCCCCTGCTCTGCAGTCTGAATTCTCCTCACTGACCTCCAGTCATGCCACCCGCTCTCTTGCCCCAAGCCTTTGCCCTCACAGTGTCTCCCACCTGGAGCTACCCCCTGCACTCATGAGCCAGCTGAACTGTCCTACCCCTGCAAATGTCCTCCGCCCCCCACCCCAGATTGAGCCTGTAGATCCCAGTCTACAGCACCTCCTCATGTAGGCTCCTCCAGGCTACAGGCAGCAGTGAGCAAGCTGGGATTCAATGCAGGGCCCCATGGAGCCCAGCCCAGCCCCACTCACCCTCCGTGGCACGATCATGGAGATGGGCTCAATCAGGCCCTTGAGTGTCACCAGTTTGTAGAAGCGGAACACCTCACAGGCCGACACATCCAGGCCGTGCTTGGGCATGACCCCTGTGGACAGGCACACACAGCTCCATGGGGTCCCAAGGGCTCCCTCTCAGCACACTGCCCCCCTCATGTTCTTGGCCAGGAGAAAGGCTGAGGCGGTGCTCACTTAGGTTTGGATGCAATGACCCACACAGAGGGCAGAGGGCAGGCTGGGGCGTCTTGAATCAGGTTCTGTCTCTCGGTGGTAGCTTCTGAAGTAAGCGCCCAGAGCCGGACCTGCCCCACCACCATGCCCTCTTTAGAACTGAGGCCTTTTAGAACTGGAAGGGACTGCAGAAATACTTGAAGCTAGTCCACACCTTTCACAGAGGAGACTCCTGAGGGTCAGAGGGCAAGGGTCTGCCAAGGTCACAGAGCAGGGGCAGGCCCACAGAACCCATCACATTCTGCAATGAACAGTCTTCCCTAAGCCTCTGTCTCCAGTTTTCAGAGAGAAAGGAGGGAGAGGCCATTCCCCATACTCCCTAGAGGTTTAAACATAGCCTACAATTGCTGTTCTGTTGAACGTCTTCTAGAAACAGCACTGCGTGCACATGTTGTGTGTGTGTGTTCACTAGCCACAATGTCCCTAACAGCTACTTCTACGAACACCTACAATAGGGAGGTGAGGCATTGGGGTGTTAGAAGCACAACTCTAGGGTCAGACAAACTCAGGTTTGAATCCTGACTCTGCTCCTCTTTCCAGCTGGGAGTCCTTGGGCAAGTCACTCTCTGAGCTTCTTGGACAGTAGTGACCCCAAGAGATGGTTGGGGATTAAGTGCAAAGATGTTCATTAACTGCCTGGCACTGTGACGAGCACCAGGGTATTAGTTTCTTTCCCTGTAAAGTGAATACAAGTTAAGACTCTACCTCTCCTGGACTGGAATGGGAGGCTGCTCTTCCAGATAAAGGAATTCCAGGAGCCGGAGGGAAGTGCTGCACCGGCTTCCCAGGTGAAATCTGGGTCTGAATTCTGCCTCCCCACTTATAAGCTACATGACTTGCCTGGGGTGAGTTGCTTAATTTCTTTGAACTTACGAAAAGTGCGTGGCTCATCGTCAGTGCTCAGTAGTGGCCACAGCTGAGGAGGATGAGGGTGAAGACCAGGAAGAGGATGAGAAGAAAATCATCCTCGGTTCTTCCCTCTCCTTTTTCCTTCCACCCCACCACATTTGATATCTTAGCAAGTTCCGCTGACCCCACTCTCCAAGCATCTCCCAAGTTCATCTCCTTCTCCCCATCTGCATGCTGTCCACCTGATTATCTTCCTTCCTTGCCTAAAAGTCCACAATTACTTCCTAACTGGTCTCCCTGCTGCCCTCCTGCCCCTCTCAAATCCATTCTCCCCAATTCATTCTCTCTACAGAAGCCAGACAATCTTAAACTAACAATTCATAGCACATCGTGCTGTCCCAACTCCCACCCACCCACCCACAAAGAAAACCCTCCAGTGCTTTCCCAATAAAATCAATACTCCTCTCCCTGGCTAATGCGTCCATGGGATTCAGTGTCTGCCCTCCTCTCTGACTTTGTCTCCTAACACCCTCCCCATCTCCTGCTATGTCACAGTCTATGCTACACTTAGCCACACTGACCTCCCTTTTGGTCCTGGAACATGCCAAGCTCATTCTGGCCACAGGGCCTTTGCACTGACTATCCCCCCTGCTGGGACTACTCTTCTCCCTTCCTGCCTTTCAGATCTCAGCTTAAAATATCATCTCTACAGAGAGGCCTTCCCTGACCACCTGGTCTAAAGTAGCCCCCAGTCACTTTCTGTTCTATCACCGCATTTGATTCTCTGCCTAGAACTCAATCCCATCTGATAGTTTTCTTACTTGTTTGTTTTTTGTCCATCCCTCCCTCCCCGCCCCCGCCAGCCCCAGTGGAATGTGAGCTCCGCAAGAGTAAGGCTGTGTTGTTTCACTTACCACTGTACCAGGTCCAGGGGCTGGTACACAGTTGGTACTCAATGAGTGTTTGTTGAACAACCATGTCAAGGAGCAGGAGGAGCCAAGTCCTCCTGTACACACGGTCTCTAAGCTTTACAACGGCCCTGTAAGGTGGGTTTGATTATCCCCATTTTACAGATGAGAAACTGAGGCTTGGAGGGGTTAAGTACACAGTTAAGCCAGAATGTAAACCCAGACCTGACTCCAAAGTCCAGACTGCTTTTTATACTACTTGATGAATGGTGGTGGCGAGTGAGGTGGGGATGACAGAGAGTTGGGGAGGGGTGATGTCCATGGGATGGTCATTAGGATCTCAGACATCTCTGGACCTCCCTTTTGCTATTGGTCACTGAGGTGGGCTCTCAGGCCTTTTCAGCCCTGATGTCCCTAAATGGGCTCTCAGGCCCTGTCCATAATACCAGATCCACAGGGGGAACAAGCAGGACTCAAGCTCCAAGGAGGAGGGTCACCCTCAGAGGTGAGAATAGGGCCCCAGAAGGTATTCATTTCACTGGGTGATTTGGACCCCAAATGGGGAATTGCTGAGCCACATGCACTACCAGCCTAGTTGTAGGAGGGAAAATGTGTTGTAGACTCAGTGATGGGAGAATGTGGGGTCTGAAGGACGTCTTGCCTGACTCACTACAGCCCATCAATTCTGGAGTTCTCTCTAGGGTATTGCCTGAGAACACAGAGAGCTCAGGGCTGCAGCCATGGGGACACCCGGGACTTCTTCCTGCCCTCTCAGGCAAGGACAGAGCTGCTGCTGAGGCCTGGGAGTCCTTGGCTTTCTAGAGGCTCAGGAAGGGGCCTGGGTCTAGACCCCACTCTGACCTTTAAGTTACTGAGCTGCCTCCCACCCATGTCATAAGCAGTCTGGGCTTCAGTCCTCCCATCTGCAATCCATGACAATGACACTGAGCACGCCCCTGCAGGCTGCTGATGAACAGAGATGACCGTGGAAGGTCGGCACAGGTCAGACGGGCAGGACAGGCAGGCTGAAGAGGAGCTGGCTGCCCATCCACCACTTACCACTGTACCAGGTCCAGGGGCTGGTACACAGTTGGTACTCAATGAGTGTTTGTTGAACAACCATGTCAAGGAGCAGGAGGAGCCAAGTCCTCCTGTACACACGGTCTCTAAGCTTTACAACGGCCCTGTAAGGTGGGTTTGATTATTCCCATTTTACAGATGAGAAACTGAGGCTTGGAGGGGTTAAGTACACAGTTAAGCCAGAATGTAAACCCAGACCTGACTCCAAAGTCCAGACTGCTTTTTATACTACTTGATGAATGGTGGTGGCGAGTGAGGTGGGGATGACAGAGAGTTGGGGAGGGGTGATGTCCATGGGATGGTCATTAGGATCTCAGACATCTCTGGACCTCCCTTTTGCTATTGGTCACTGAGGTGGGCTCTCAGGCCTTTTCAGCCCTGATGTCCCTAAATGGGCTCTCAGGCCCTGTCCATAATACCAGATCCACAGGGGGAACAAGCAGGACTCAAGCTCCAAGGAGGAGGGTCACCCTCAGAGGTGAGAATAGGGCCCCAGAAGGTATTCATTTCACTGGGTGATTTGGACCCCAAATGGGGAATTGCTGAGCCACATGCACTACCAGCCTAGTTGTAGGAGGGAAAATGTGTTGTAGACTCAGTGATGGGAGAATGTGGGGTCTGAAGGACGTCTTGCCTGACTCACTACAGCCCATCAATTCTGGAGTTCTCTCTAGGGTACTGCCTGAGAACACAGAGAGCTCAGGACTGCAGCCATGGGGACACCCGGGACTTCTTCCTGCCCTCTCAGGCAAGGACAGAGCTGCTGCTGAGGCCTGGGAGTCCTTGGCTTTCTAGAGGCTCAGGAAGGGGCCTGGGTCTAGACCCCACTCTGACCTTTAAGTTACTGAGCTGCCTCCCACCCATGTCATAAGCACTCTGGGCTTCAGTCCTCCCATCTGCAATCCATGATGATGACACTGAGCACGCCCCTGCAGGCTGCTGATGAACAGAGATGACCGTGGAAAGTCGGCACAGGTCAGACGGGCAGGACAGGCAGGCTGAAGAGGAGCTGGCTGCCCATCCACCAGGGGTGGCACCTGTGGGTCCTGTTCTGACTTGCCCATAAGCTTGTGGCCTTCTGAGTCTGACTTTCCACTTAAGAGGGGGTGGGGGGTGACCCATGAGCCAAATGTCTGGTCTCCTGTTCTACAGCGTCACAGCCATGGCAGCCTCTGAATCACTTACCGAGGCCTTTCTGCGGGGCTGGGGAGCGGAACTCCATGAGGTAAGTCAGGTAGGGCTTCTCAGTGCTGATCTCGTAGTACCGGATGTTTCCATCCCCCTGGGGGCAGGAGAGAGGGAGGTAAAGAAGGTGTGGGGGAGGGGAGGGCTGAGAAAGCCCTGGTCCCAGGGGTCTGCTGAAGAGCACTCCTCTCATGCCTCAGAGGTGGTCAAAAGACCAGGGAGACCTCTAGACCATCGGTGGGTCCACCATGGGGGCTTATTGGGGGTGGAGGAGTGGGTGTGGGATGGGCTGGTGTGTGTGTGTGTGTGTGTGTGTAGACAGCCTTTCCGACAAAAAAGGTCACCGAAGATCTGGCAGGTGCCTCAAATTCCATCACTCATCACTGTCTACACTTCAGGCTCTGATCTTTATTCCAATGTAAACCCCACTCCAACTCCTCACCTTTTAAGGAATTCTCAGGCACTGAGTGTCAGACTTGAGGGTGGGTGTTAATGGAGCAGGGTGAGACCCAGGAACCTGGGTTGGGTCAGGGTAAGAGGTTGGGCTGGCTCTTTTTAGGGGGTAGGGCAGGGGCAGGGGCACACTGGGGCAGGGGTCTCCCACAGGCTGCCCCAGTCCCTCCCCACCTTCTACTACCTTTCCAGCCAGGTAGAGCATGTGGGTATCAGCATCGTAGAAGGGGAACAGGAGGCCAGACAGCCCATCAATTTCCTCCTCGATCAGGGGCATGGACAGGTCCTCCTGCAGGGAAAGGGGTGGCTATCAGCCTGTGTCCAGGCAGGATGGCACGCCACCTTCCCAAATGCCAGCTAAGCCACCCCAGAGCTACCATCCGTTTATGTCAAGATGCCCCTCAGATGTTAAAAAACCTGTCCTGTGGGTGGGACAAGACTAGACTACCTGTCATGAAAAGCAGCCTCGGGCAGTGGAAAGGGTCTGCAAATAGGAGGAGGGGACTTGCTCCCTAAACCCACTATTTGCTATGTGTCCTCAGGTAAGTATCTTGTTCTCTCTGGAGCTCAGCCCCCAACTCTGGAAAAAGAGGGTGAACATCTTGCAGGTGCGCCTGGACACTGTCCCTTGAAAACCTTCTGTACCTGAGCTTCGCCTCTGGAGGTCTTCATCTGGTTTGACTGCTGGTGATGCTGTCAGAGCTGGGTGTGTGGCCCAACTCCTGACTCTCTGAGGAAGTGACCTCCCAAGACCAGTGGATGCTTCCTTTAGCCCAAACCTAGAGGCCACACCTTGGCCCTCTGGCCCTCCCTCCACCTCACTTCTGCCTCTGTCCAGTTGTGCCCTCAGTAGTACTTTTCAGAATAGAGAGTGTGCAGCTGGATGGACCCTAACACATGCCTCTCTTCCAATTGCTTGTATAACTGATAGGGAAACAGGCCTTGCCAAGAAGTCATACAGAAAGTTGGGCGTCCTCTTCCCATACCAGCTGCTGACATCCGGGGCCTGCTCACTGGCCCGTGTCTCTGCTCTGGGTAAGCTGGTGGGAGGGGATGGATGGGGAGGAGACTGGACACTGGTCCCCACGACCCCAAAGACCCAGCCAGGAGTCCAGCCAGGCCTGCTGGAGACCATAGTTTGCTTTGAGTGTGGGCATAGATGCATGCTGAGGGGAACAGAGAGTTTGGGGCAGGGGAGCCAAGCTCTGCACCAATCCCAGTGTGAAAATGCTTACTCAGCTGCCTTGGGGGTTCTGGGGGTCCTTGGTGAGAAGCGGCCAGAGGGTGTGCCAAGCCCAGCACATGCTCATAGTACACATGGAAATGGATGCCTGTATCTGGGCAGATCTGTGACCACCTCTGTGAAGGTTAATTCTAGGTGTCAACTTGGTTAGATGAAGGGATGCCGAGAAACCTGGTAAAGCTATTTTTTTAGGTATGTCCGTGAGGGTGTGTCCAGAAGAGATTAGCATGAGAGTCCGAGTGGGCTGGATGGGAAAGACCCACCTTCAATGTGGGCGGGAACCATCCAATCTGCTGGGGGCCCCAAGAGAACAAAAAACAGAGAAATAAAGGTGAATCTCTCTATCTGCTGAAGCTGGGATACACTCCTGTCCTGTCCATGGACACTGGAGCTTGAGACTCTTTGGTTTTTGAGTTCCAGGACTTACACCAAGGACACCATCGGCTTCCCTGGTTTTGAGGCCTTTGGACTTGGACCGAGCCACACTGCTGGCATCCAGTTTGCAGACGGCCTATCGTGGGACTTCTCTTCACAATCATGTGAGCTAGTTCCCCTAATAAGTCACTCTCATATATTTACAACATATGCTATTGATTCTGTCTCCCTGGAGAACCCTGACTAATACAACGTCCAACCCCCAGCTGGGACGTCACTGCCTTATCCATTCTCCACATAAGAACGGGCCTTGGCTGAGGCCCTCTCGAGGCATGAGGCACTATCTCTTGGTGCCTCCCTCCAGCATGTGGACCTTACTCTAGCCCTTTCCCTCTCTGGCATCTCATCCCAGCCTACACCTGGATCAGAGGCCCCAGAGACCCCAGAACACAGACCTCACTCTGCTCTTGCCCCATCTTTGAAGCAGAGAACCCATGAGTTTGAGTCTCAGCTTCCTGCTCCCTTCCTGTCCACCACCCAGTCTCCCTGTGGTTGACCTGGTCCCAGAGGGCGATCTGTCTTGTGTTCCACCTGGAGACCCCTGTCGTGAGGAGCCGCTTCATGTTTCCCAGGAACACCACCCGGTTCACTCTGTGGTTTTTGCAGTTTGCCTCCTGGTAGGGAGAGAGAGAGCCAGTGAGCCAGGGTCCCTAACACTTGAGTACTGTAATGAGCTGAATGGTGGCCCCCATAAAGATAAATCTATGTCCTAGTCCCTGGGCCCTGTGTTTCCTTATTTGGAAAAAGGGTCCTTGCAGGTGTAATTAGGTTAAGGATCCTGAGATGAGATTACTCTGGATGTGGCCCTATCCAGGTGGTCCCTAAATGCCTTCAGGAGTGTCCTTGTGTGAGAGACGTAAGATTATTCAGACAGACAGAGGAGATAGTGATGTGACCACAAAGGCAGAGACTGGAGTGACGCAGCCACA